ACTATGGAATGAACTGACTGGATACCATTGAAGTAAGACGTTCGTTTGGTAAAGTCTTTTTTCATTCGATCAGTTCGATTTTGGCCATTCTTGCCAAGTACCTACTGCAATGAAAGCTGTGAAGGGAAGTATTATTAGTAGAGCATACACTCATACCATCCTCTGGCCACGTCTGGCATGTTGGCTTGCTCCAGTGTGCACTCTGTGCATTAATGCTTTGTGTAAGCTTTGCAAGGTGGTTTTATCGTTATACCAAAATTTTAGCAAAACGATATTAACTTTTGTCGGCCGTTTAAAGCTCTTAGGCCGAGTTCAATGGTAGTAAGAAAAGTCTGTTTTCCTCGCTCATTTGCAATAGATTCGGCAAATGCGAAGTTCGACGTTTGAACTTATACGGGTATTGCAAAAGCAAGTTAGAGTATTTGTAACGTCGCTTGTTGTTCACATGCAAAGCTGCATGAGTGCGAGTCTAAAGAGCGTTGAACACACGATATTATGTGTCGTCCGAACACAAGATCTGTTGATGATATTATACAATTAAAATTGTATAAGAAAGGTTGTTGCCTTGATAAGTCAGTTTATTAAGAGGAGGAAGAGGAGGGTATTGGAGGGTGGTGTAAACCGAGAGTTTCAATTTTTTCAAGCTAGTAGTCCCACTTGTTTAATTCTAAGCGGACCTTGTCCGCAAAAACATCGTCCCTTTGTTCATCTGTTAAGGCTTGAATGGAAAAAAGAAATCAAGAAATTTTGATTTGGGTTCCTCTATGGAATGCCTGTTCATCCTCACTTATGAAAGGGGTCTGCTGTAGGATTGGACTACGGCCAAGGTCGAATTTCGCATGTGTAGAATACGTCACGTTTTCAGCTGACATGATAGAGAGATTTAGAGTGACCTTTGCAGCAAACAGTAAGCAGTTAAAAGCAGTCCAAAACAATTGTTATAGTCAAAACTAACGTGAAGCTACTAATTTTGGCGTAGAAGTAATGAACAGTAAAGCACAAGTGAAGGAAAAATCTTGGTCACGTGGTAAAAATTCACGTTTGCCGTTTGCCGTGATAAAATGTCAGTTTTACCAGTTCCAGTAGGTCTGGCTCTCATTGCTGATCATGAGCATTATAAGCCGCCTTAAAACTGCCATTTAATTATTTCCGAGGTTCAATTGCAACAATTTTCCATGAGAGACGATTTCATTCTGGCAGTCGTTGTTTTGAAAATTTTAATAGTCTTGATTCCGAGCTTGATGCCTTTATATCAGTTTCATCGGTTCTCGAGATAAATTGACAGCAAAATTCAAATTTAAACTACTGGCGAAACAAAAAAATAATTTTGAAGAGCGTGACGAGATAGGAACAAATGTGAAAATTTTTTTTGAAAAATCAATTGGCTAAAGAGTTATTAAGCCTTGATTTTTGAATTTCCCGCCATTTTGTTACTATTTTAAGAAACAAAAGCACATTTCAAAATGCTACATCTCCTAAAAGTAATTGAGTTGTTCAAAATTTTTTTCACACTTGTTTCTATCTCGTTACCCTTTTTCAAAATTACCTATTTGTTAGGCCATTAGTTGAAATTTAAATCTCGCAGTCAATCTTGTGACGTCATTTACCCGCCAAAAGCCGTTAAAATCGAAAAACAAAAAACATCCGATTGTTTGGAATACAAAGTTCTACCATTCTGCAAACTTTGAGCTCAAACAGATAAAAACTGCAAAAGTAGTTTCTAAGTGGCCACTTTTTGCGTCCTTTTTGCCCACCGTGTCAAGCTTGATTTTATAATAATAGGCCAACGGAACTGGAACTGAATTTTTATGTAATGTGAGTGACTAAAAAAAAACAAATAAATAAGTAAAATAATAATATGGAGCTATATGGGTCCCAGATTAGACTGCAAAACAGTACCCCAGAATAGGCTAGATCAGTGCGGATAATACCGTCACCAAAAAACTCCTAGGTGAATATTGAATATGCTCTTCTTATAAATTACTCAGCTCTGTATTTAGAACATTTGATATACAAGTGGTTCTCAGTATCCTGTGATAATCTACAAATTAAAGACTTATCAGAAATCAGCGCTAACAAAATGTACAGTAGTCTAGATGAGGCCTAACTCGTCCACAGTGTCCAATTTCACAGCAGAGACGGAGTATCCGTCTGGAACGGATAATCCACCTTCAAAATCCGTCAAAATTGACAGATAAACAGATTGATTGTTCATCCAAAATTAAAACTGTTCCATTTTCAAATTAAGACGTATCATTCGTCGGAGGGGAATTATCCAACGCATAACCCGTCTCAGACGGACAATCCGTCTCTTTTGTGAAAACGGCCAGCCCTTTGTTTCTTTTAAATATTAGCAGAGCTCCCGCGCGCGAAGCGCGCGTGGCGGGGCCTCCTTGCTAAGATAAATTGGTAACCTATGACAGCAAGAAAATTTGGTTATGACGTAGCGTACGAACGCCGATCGTCCGTACAGCCAATTCATGTACGCCGATGCCAAATGTCAGGTTATTTTGGCGGGAAAGCGTATTGCCGCCCGCCTCTTGTGAGGCAGAGACAACTGAAGAGTCAATAAAGACGAAAACGGAAAGCGGAAATTGTTTCTGTATCCTGTTGTCTAAAGTATTAAGTTTAGACTAATGGTCATGTCCACAAATTTGGAAAATAGGGAAAGAGAAAGACAGAGAAAAAGAGAAAGTAAGGCGACAGGCCAGCGAAGCTCAACGAGAAAAAGAGCTAGAGCGAGATAGAAAAAACAAAGGAGACATTTTTTGTTGGAGGAACAACATGAAATTTTGTAGCAGCGGTGAGAAAATGAGAAATGCTAGCGGCCAGCTGGGTGATAATGAGCGACAGTGGAAAAAACGTGAACAAGAACATGTACGACATTTCCTCCATAAAACGTGTAACCAGGAAGCTTTTGGAAGTTTCACGTTGTAGCCGTGCACAACAACGGCAACGAAATGTACAAAGAAAGTGTGCTGCACGTGCAAAGTTGCTTTTTTGCTAATAAGACCTATTTTTGTTTTTTCACCGTTCTTGTTGCTTTCGCCGCTTAGCATTACACGATTTTACATTTTGTTTGAGCAAACTATAAATATTATCGGGAGCTTCGCTTTTAGCCCTGCCTAAATCTATATATTAAGGTGGGACGCGTAGAAAATGCGCTGTCGTCCCCTTCGCCGAGATGCCGTGCCAGTCTCCGATCCGAGACCGCCAACATGTAGTAAGAGACGACTGAGGACGGGTCAGCTATGGGAGTTCATGTCATCACGAGTGACTTCTCGTCAGCTACGCCCAGTGTTACCTGTTCTCCTTCCATCTATCTTAAGAAATCAAGTTGCTGGACATGTCTCAGTTTAAGGTTTCTAAAAAAGGCATTTTTCCTGTCAACGAAATAAAGTTTTCATTCAGTCCCCTCGTGAAGTTTGTCGAGTTTTTCTCATCAAGACCCTTTTCTTGCTGCATAAAAACCAGTGTTTCTTACGGTGAGAAGGGATATACGAGTAGCGTTCGACCCGGAGTGCACTAACAACAACAAGTAACAAAAGCAGGTTGATTCTCAATTTTCTTTGTCTCCAAATCGTAATTTATGAACAATAAGGTGTAGGAGACAAAGGAAATTGAGAATCAACCTAGCTAGGTTAAAAATTTTAAACTGAATTTAATTTTGACCTGTAACATAATATATACTTAACCAACGTAGCATCGATTACACAAAAGGAACGGTCAACAAGTTTAATGGGTAGTAGAAGGGAGTGGGCCGCAGCATTGTAACGTGCGTGGTAACCGGAAGAAATGACAAGATCGAAAAGGCAAAAATCGCGAACATATGAACGCAAAGGACACGCACGATTTCCCCTTTTTGATCATCTGCCACACATTGCAAAATAAGGGACCAAAACGCATAGCCCACCCGGTTTAGTGGCATAAAATCTGTCAACTAATCCCCCTCCCGGTGAAAGAATTGTTTGAATTTACTATGACACCCGTGTTGTGGCTTTGCTGAAAGACATCCTGTAGTAAGTGCCGGTTTGAGTGTGGTTAAGGTTTTATCCCGAGATCCGTGAAGGCATTTTATTCCCGTGACACGTGATGTGAGTCGTAAATCAGCCTGGCATCTATGTAATTTGTTTCTTCATAGGGATGTTGATTTTTCGAAACACTCATTTTGTGTAATATTTCTTCTTTACAACTAAATCAACAAAACTCAGTAAGCCAGGCATTGTTTGGGATACACGACAGCCTTTATTAATAACAAAATACAATACATGGTAGACAAATAAAAGGTAATATCTGGTATACTATTAAAGTGCTCCAAGAAATAATGAAAGAACCAAAAAGAGAAAGAAAAACAACTACATAAACCAAAACGACCTCATTTAAATAATTATAAAGAGTGATCACACTGTCCATGAATAGAACGAAGCAAAACCCTTAAGGGGGAAGGTTGGAGGAGAACTTTTTCTAGTACAGTAAATGCATGCGATGCCTAGTGTTAAATGTGGTTAAACTGAATTGTACCCGACTGTTAAACTACAGTTGTAGTCCTATGTACCGCAAAATTACGATATCCTAAGTACAAAACACATGATATTATGAAATCTCTCCTGATAAAATACTACTTTAGTACTGTTCTATGTCTCGTATCTCAACATGACTTCTTCCTTTGTGATTTAGAACCGCTTCAGTCGTCTCAACGCATGCAACCGGTTTCGAAATGGACTGGTTTTAAAAATTGTAGGCTTTAAAAACTAAACATTCAAAGTTAAGGTTAGTTCTAATTTTAGCTATTCATAGCCTATGTATAAGCTTTTGAACAGAAAGTCGAGTATAGATCTCCCGTAAAAATACTATTGTAGTACTTAATGGTATGATGGCACCTGTAGCTGTAAGCTTTCATGTAAAAAAGTTACAAACTAAATTATATGTATGATTAAGCTTTTCACTCTTAACTATAACCGGCCACGATTTACACGCAGGGCCTAACGATATTTTCCTTTTTAGTCCATCTCCTTTTCACGCAAAAACCGTCTGGCTGCCCAGCCTATTGCGCTTAAGGGTTGTTTTCTTCTTCTTCCTCTATGCAAACACCTAATGACGTCTGTCCAGCCCATCTCGCCTGCGTCTTCTTCTTGTTCTTCTTCTCTTTCTTCTTCTGTCTCGTCTTCTTCTTCCTCCTCCTCCTCCTCTTGTTCTTCGTCTTCTTCGTCTGTGTCTCTTCTCTCCATGGGAACACAGCGTCTGCATCCGGTGCCTATCTTAGTAACAAGATCTCCATTGCGCATAAGTGACCTGGTGACATAAACTTCACGGTGTTCACATAATTTCCATGCTCCTATATTGAAGCCTGGGACGTTCTCAAATTCTTTGGGTTCCTCGGTGGCTGGGGGTAGAAGTCCTACTTCCTTTCTCACAGATGCTACTATTCTCCCAAGCCAGTCAACTTCCAGAGCGTCGTCAGTACCTTGGATAAATAAATGAAACTTTTGCTGAGCCAGCTTCAAACGCGATACTGCAATGTCGGAGAACGACCTTTGGAAATTGATGGCTTCACTTTGAGCCTCCAAAATGGATGCATAAAGGAAGAACTTTCTTGCGTGTTCGTAAACTGTGTTTAAAATACTTAAGTCAAACTGGGGTTTCTCGAGGTACGCTGTCATCTTTTCCAAGAAATCCTTGATCGCCAGCTGCTCTTTCGAATTTGCTTGATGACTTTTCATGTCTCTTAAACAGGATTGCGCTTTTTTAACCTCGTCTATGATGAGAAGGTGATTTCTAAGTGTGAAGATTAAAGAGACTTTTCTTGACTGCTCCATCATCTGAAGTTTTTGCCGAAATTTTTTCAGACTGTCTTTGTTGCCTTTACAAAATTCGGAAGCTTCTTGTGATAGCTTATAAATGTGAGATTTTCCATTGTCAATGTTTTTCAGTGTCTCTTTAATTTGATTTCCATAACGATAACTGAATGTAATCGCGACAGAGCACCTGGGGCACTGAATTAGTCGAACGTCACTTCCAAGGTCCCGTAGCATCCAACGGTCCATCACATCAACCTCCACGATATGGTTACAGTCAAAAAGTTGTAGATACCTAGTGGTTTCAGCTGTTTTAGGAGCCTTTGGAGGAAGCTTTTTGGCATGACAAATGGCGCACACAGTGGGACAGTTTTCCCCACACAAACCAATACACGGGTGGCGACAAGGAAGCCTCTTAGGGCATGGAGCATTACATCGAGGGCGATCACATTCCTCGCCACAAAGATTATTGCATGTATAATGAGGACAACTCCATTTGCAGGGTTTTTTGCAAGGTGTACACGACTGCGCGCAAGATTGGGTACATTTTTTATGAGGGCAACGTCGACTGCATTTTTTGTTACAGGGCGGGCAAGGCTCGCTGCATTTCGCTTGACAGCGATGGCAGCAAACGAGAAGTCGGCCACAAGGGTTTTGGCATATTTCGTGTGAACCCCTTTGGCTGCATTTGGCACATGTACCAGAACACTGGTGACCGCACGGTAGCTTTTGTATACAGTCACTTGAGCATCGCACTTTATCAATAGAATCGCTACAACGCATGATTACGTTGTGCCCGCACTTTAGGGCCTTAGGCACTTCTACTTGGCATGGGTATTTTTCACAGGGTTCCCCACAGACACCCTTGCAGCGATGTTTGCATTTCTTTCGACGTGGACAAGGTGCACTGCAAGTAGCAGTCTTTAATTGAAAACATGGAATTGATTGAACTTCGTGACCACAATCAAATGTTTTGTCTACTCGACGCTCGCATCTGTAACGTTCACATGGCTGGCTGCAAACACCCGGGCACGGGTGACCACAGGCTAGCAACTGTGTACAGTCCTCTTTGCATGCTACATTCTTGGGGTCCTCTTTGCAGTACATCTTCAGAGAGTGCTTTCCTGTGCAACTAAGTCTCTTCACCACCTTTATTGAGCACTGGTGCTGACTACATTCTTCGAAGCATTTTCCTGGACACGGGTGACCGCATTTCAAATTTCGTTTGCATGGATTTGAGCAAATAAGCTGAGAGACATCTTTAGAGCAAAAGTAAGAGATGCTGTGGTACCCACAACTCAAAGCTTTTTCGACTTTAACAACGCAGTTAAAGCTATCGCACTGTTCTCCACATTTATGAGAGCATTGGTGACGACATGAAAGAAGGCGTTCACAAGGGGCATCACAAAAAACCTCTTCTGTCTTACTTGAACATTTCAAAAGCTTGTCATGGCCACAGGGTAATTTTTTCCACACGTTGGCGGTACACATTTCACTTTTCATCTCACCCTGGACGCTACAGCAAATTATACGTTTGTGGTGGCCACAATCAAGTAATATTTCGATCTCTTCCTGACATTTGTGCTCCAGTGGGTTTATATGGCACGGAAGGACTGTCTCATGTCCACATGCTAATGTTCTTGAAACTTTAACTGTGCAAACGTCATTTGGTAAGCCTCCGGATATAGTGGAACATCGGGCAGACTTCTTATGTCCACATGGTAGTTCCAGTTCGACTTTCCTTCGGCAAATGCAATCCTCAGGCTTTTTGAAGCACGGAAGACTGATCGTATGGCCACAGCGCAACCTCTTCTCAATTCTTTCTTTACACAAGACACGTTCTATTCCAGTCTTTTTGACATGGCACTCAGCGAATGCTTTATGTCCACATGCAAGATGCACCTTCACTTTTTCCTTGCAAACAATTTTTTCGGGATTCTTGTGACAGGGCAAGTTGACGGCGTGGTTACATGATAGTATTCTGGCTACAGGTTCCTTGCATGGTCTAGCTTCACAGTTCTTATTACAGGTTTCTTTGCAAGGATGGCCGCAGTCTTTTCTTACTCTCTTGCATGGTTGAACGCACATTAGTGAAGATGGATCGACGTAGCATGGACTGTTGACGTTGTGGCCACACTTAGAAAGAGTAATATATACTTCCACCGTGCAGTGACTACAAGGTGAACCGGAATGGCAGCGGTCTTGGCAGGGGTGACCTCTCGCGCATGGCTTTTTACAAAGCTCTTTGCATCGAACTTCATGACATGGAAGGCCACATGAAGAAGAGCAATTGTGGCCGCAATCAAGTTGCCGTAGACAGGGCGCGAAACAAACTGCTTCTTTGGGGTCTTGAAAGCAAGGAACAGCCTGCTGGTGGTCACAGGGAAGATCCTTTACCACAATTATTTTACATCGCTTTGTTCTACAGTCTTCGTGACAGACTCCAGGACAGTCGTGGCCACAGTTTAGTACTCGTTCGCACTTTTCGTGGCACTCACTTGGGGAGTCTTTCTCGCGGCACAAGACACGTGTCCAGTGTTTGCACGACATCTGGACTTCAATCGTAGTATTACATTGGCATGATTGTGTACACTTCCTTGAACAAGGATGACCGCATGCCAGAAGTTTGTTGCAGCTTTTCGTGCACTTGTTATAAAAGACTGGATCCTGGTAACAGAGCATGCTTTTTTCGTGTCCACATGGTAATGATTTTTCACATGTTACTCGACACTGTGTTGTGCATAACTGTCCACATGGTTTCTGACAGGGGTGTCCACATGGTAGCTCCTTCTCACATTTCGCCCGACAAGAAAACTTTTCAGGATCAATACAACATGGCACAAGCTGTTCATGATCACATTTAGGGACTGTCTTTGGCATTTGCTGATAGCACGGTGGGCATTTGCCTGGATAGTGACACCTCTCTTTACACTGATGCTCATTAGAGCATATATTGACGCACCTACTGGGACAATTTTTTGGATGTATTCTTGTATGGCAAGGAATGGTACAAGCATGACCACAATCCAGACGATCTCCACAAGGCATATTGCATCCTCCAGAGGAGTTAAACTGACCTGCATTTTGTACACTTGTTACGTTGTTGTGCCTCTTGCAAATCAGTTGTAGACTATGACCAATGGCTCCTTTGGTTTCTAAATCATCACATATTTCTTTCCAAAGCTCGCACTTACTTTTCAGAAGACCAAAGTTTCCAATACAATAGAGACCTTTGCGGGCTCTTGAAAGGGCGACGCAGATCCTGTTGGGCTCACCCAGAAATCCAATGGAACGTTGGGAATTGCTTCGTACCAACGAAAGAAGAATGATGTCGTTTTCTTCTCCTTGAAAATTGTCAACTACGCAAATCCTGACACTAAACTCTTGTCTTGACATCATCTCTTTGATGAGTAGTAACTGACCAATATACATAGTTAAAATTGTGATCTGGCTTCTGTTGTATCCTTGAAGTAGAAGGTGCCTACAAAGGGCTACCAAGAATGAAGCTTCGTGAAAGTTAGAGTAGCTTTGCAGGCCAGGTTCATGTTTTTCATGTTCACCATGATTGATAAAAAAGAGATTACCACAAACGCCAGATATGTCCTCAAACTGACATACTGAACTGTGATCTATGATTTCGTGATCGTAGATTCTTTTAGTCAGAGCGGCGATCTCAGGGCGCATTCGATGTTGTGTCGATAAGCACTTACAATCCACATTATTCATCACCATCCTCTCAAACAGTGAGACTTCCAGGTTGTACTTACGGGCTAACTCATACACAGTTGCCTTAGGGCGGAGCTGTTTGTGGTCTCCGATGAGAATTGTGTGCTTTGTGTTGTGCGAAAGAGAGGTAATAATGTGCGATTCCATTACCTCAGCAGCTTCTTCAATAACCACAATTCTTGGTGCTATCCTTTGTAGGGCTGAGTGGTATTTAGCTGCTCCAGTGGTAGTCATTCCAATAACAGTGGCCCGGCGTAACACCTCTTCTTTTGCTCTAAATTTGACCTCCTTTAGTTCCTCACAAAGTGTTCGATAATCCTGTTCACTTCTTTGAATCTCTACTCTGTAGCGATCACGGTAGCTCTCGATCCAAAAGTGGTAGAGTTGAAGTCGTTGCGATCTTGACAAGTTCCAGATGTTTCCAACATCCATCGCTTCCTCAGGAGACATCATTGTTTCCTTTTTGAGCCGATCTTTTAGTTTGGAAATATTTTCTTTGCTGAGGATTTTGTTGGCGTGTTGTTTCTTCTTCTTAGTATCTCCCATGTTTGACGACCTCTCTTTGGAACCTTCGTCTTCTGTTTGTAACCATGCAAATTTTTTATTTTGTTTTCTTTTGTATGTAACAGTGGTCCAGCCATCATTATCTTCGTCATGGGCGCCCAGGTCATACGAGTCTCCACTCGCAACGTTGGAGAGATTTTCTTCGACTGGTAAGCGTCTTTGACATTGCATGAAATCAGCGTCTTTCCCTATTGCTATAGTCTCCTCTCCAGCTCCGTTTACTTCATCAGCTCTGTCAACGCAGTTTTCCTTTTTTGAGGCACAGTCATTATTTGTAAATTCTGTAGCATCTGAAGAAAGCTCATCTGAATTTATTAGTGCCCAAGGATCAGTTGCAACAAGGGGATCATCAGCAAACGAAGGGACACGTTTTACAAAGGCTTTTGCGCCTCGACTTTCGCTTTCATCATCTTGCGAGGCAAAGAAAAACGGCGGTTTAACGACTTCGTCACTTGCACCTATGTCGTGAAAGGAAGATACATCTGAAACTGCCGCAGGCGATTCCTCTGTTGTGTTTTGGTTGCATGACCGCAGCGGCTCGTCGTCGCAAAGCCATAATATGAACGTATCGCCTGCTGATCGGTACTTGTATTTTGCATTGGAAGGGAAAATGGCATTGTATAGTTGGTCTAAGTGATCTGGATTTAACACATCCTCCAGTTCATCTAATTCTAGCAGTTCATTGCCTGCTTTTTCAAGATGATCCTCCCAGTCTTTTTGCTCTCTCTCCTTTTGCCGTATCATCTTTATGACCTCTCTCAAATCAACCCTGCCCCTGCACTGTTCATGGGTAAAATGTTTCAGATTGCAAGCTTCTAGCATTGGGCTCTTGCTTCTTTGTCCAACCCGAATTATTTCTTTTTTTGGAAGAAACTCTAGCACCTTTTCAAGGAATTGATCCAGCGCATGGTTCGTATAACAAACCATCAACATCGGTGATAAGCGTTGAGGATCCCACGTACATCGATTCTCTAGTAAGCATCTTACAATTTTGGCTCCAACGTAAGTCTTCCCTGTTCCTGGTGGGCCCTGGATAACAGAAAACTCAGTTGTAATTGCTGTCCTCAACGCTTCTAGTTGGGAGCGGTTGAGTGGAAGTGTTGCAACTGAGGGCCAAGCTCCAGGCGTAAGAACAGGTACCGCTTTGGCATTTTTGTCACCTGGAACGTCAAGGGCGTCCCTTAGGTCAAAACATACTGGCGCGTCTTTCTCACTCCGTCTTAGATATTCCGGTGGATCAACTTCTGCACTGCATTCAACCAAATACTTTTTAAATGGCATAGTTGTTTCATTTAACTGCTTTAATCCTTTAAGAACGTAACGATAAGCTTCAAAATAGGCTGGCGACTCAACCATCTGGTAAACGTAATTGCGACTTTCGATTCCAAAAACATCTTGCTCTTCGATAAACTGGATGTCGATACGCCCGTTTTTCAGTTCCTCTGGTTCTCGTTTGGAAACAGTGGCGAAAAGCATCGTTTGAAAGTTGTCATGTGAAATGCACAAAAAGGAACCATACATCAGTCGTTTAGAATCTGGCCACCTGCTCGTTTTCAATCCGGAAACATCGATTTCCACTTGATAAGTGATACCACTGTCCGCCGCGAGTTCCTTGCCGATGATTCGTACACTGCGGTAGTTTTTCAATAATTGCTTGCGCTGTTGTCGTGGCACATTTAGAATGACTTCACCAATACCTTCCCTCAGTGGCTCAAGAAAGTCTTCTCGCAGAAGCCGAAACTGAACATCAAGATAGTGTTCAACATTGTCGTACCTTCCCTTTGAAATATTCATACGTAAGAAAGGTCGTTCTTGAGTCGTGATTTCCTCACTCATGGGATATATTGGCATATCTCTGAAATCGTTTGGTGGTTTATCTCCAACCCTGTAACGTTTTCCTTGCTTTTCTCTTTCACTCTTGATGATGTCATCTCTGGATTCCTTAAATGCTTCTAACTTTTTCTCTAAATCCTTCTTTGTCTCAATGCTTGACTTGCCTAAGGCTAATTTCAGCTTATCATAGGGGGGGTCAGCATATGAACGAGACAAGATTGTCAGGTACTTCACGAAAATAACAATAAGACATTCGATGAGTCTTCGCAGAGAAACGTGGTCATCCCAGATCTCTGATGCGTCGACACGATCAAGAAAACTAGGAATCTTTAAAGTTAAGAAGTCGGAGCCTTTAACTGCAACTAGAATCTTGTTTGTGTTCTCCCCTGATGGCGCTTCGCAGGCCCTCGCTAAAGCACAAGTCAAATCATAGATAAATTCATCGCTGTTGTGCTCCTTTTCGGCCGATTGTAGGAGGTACTTCAGCCGGTCTATTCTTTCGTTCAGAGTGTTCAGGACCTCTCTGCTATCCTTCTCTTTCAAAGCCTTAAGGTCCAATGGGGTCATTTTTACTGGTAGCACTCCTCGAGCAGGGGGCCGCATTGAAAAACCAGAGTTCTTATTCACTGGTCCGAGCTTTCCGGGTCGTTGATCTTGGTTTGTTTTATCTGAATTAGGAGAAGAGTATCAATGCACAAAATCTTCCTTCTGCAGAAATCTACTCCGTCCTATGCCTACACGTGTTTTTGTTTTTTTAGTTTATTGCTCTAAAAGTGGTAGCCTTTCATATTATTAGAGTTTTCTTCATCAACAACAACAATGGTTTATTTCTAATACTGTAGACAGACAAAAGAATTATAAATAAACAATAAATACATAAGTGGGAGACCCAAAATAACTAAAATGCTAAACTAGTTGGGTGACCATAGTTATAATAATTGAAAATGTGAAAAGTCAGGAAAGAGGCACAACCAGAATAATCTTACTAATTGAAAGGTACGTGAAAGCGAACACGAATCCGGCTGTGTGGCGGCATTATTTAATATAGCCTGCGTAGCGAGCGAGCGAGGTCAGAGTACATGAGTGCTTGTTGGCGAAGGAGCCGCCTCGCGCAGCAAGCGGAGAAGCTGGCAGGGGATCCCACTTTTACTCGTCTCCATTCTTTTTGTAGATTTACAGCGTACACGAAAACAACAAACGCATCAGTGGAATGAGTCACTTACGTGAGACAATTTCAGTTCTCACGGATAAAGCTACTGACAAAGCTTTCGTTATAGTTTTTAGCATCACTGTCCTGGCTCACTATTATTTTCTCCTCGTGAGAACCCTATATATATGTATATATATATAATTTGCACAAAAGAGAATCGTCTTCCAACAAATAAAAACTTTATTCAGACCCAACGCGTTTCGGCTTCTACCTTTATCAGGGGTCTTCACATTGGGTTCATTAATCCATTAATGATCTCTTATTATGACGTAATAAAGAAGAAAAGTTATACAATCATAGAAGCCAAGTTCCTAGAAGACATTTGGCGATGTAAACAGAACTAGGACAGTGTATCGTTTAAACTTACCGGGGGGCTTTCCCCTGCCTCTCGATGGCGCTGCTTCATCTTTCCCGCGCTCCAGTGATGCTCCACGTCCACGTCCACGTCCGCGGATGCCTTGCTTATCCTGTTTGTTGAAGTGGTCATCTAAATAAAGGGGCGAATAACATTCAATTGTATCACGATTAGATCAAGACCTTCGACGTAATCAATGCCTCAAGGAAAAAAAAAACTAATATCGCAACAGAACAAAAGCTAGAAGGATGTCGATTATCTTTTTAATTGCTTATATCTGTTTTTAGTTTACAGGTTATGGATCCTTTAGGTGTCTAAAGTGGGAATTTTCTCTGCTCTTTTGTTCACAAAGTGATATTATGTTAATTCTTTCTAACCTTTTGCTTGTTTTGTGACTGGTTTATTACCAGCTCCTTCTCCTCTGCGTTGGCTTTGAGATGATGATCCGTAAAGCGTTGCTTCTGGTTGTTCTGCAGGATCTGTTCAAATTGAAGTAAACAATCCTAGATGAAGCTAATAAATAAATAAATATAAGGGCAAGTTCGTAATGTAAAGTAGGACACACCAGAATTGACCCTATACAGTAACTGCTTTTGTAATGAAGCTATTAAAAGCATAGTCCTCTTCCCCGTGCACGATGGACGCTGGCCTCCATTTAGGTACATTTTTTATGTGCCCAATCAGAGAAAAGCGTTAAAATGAGTCGTGGAACTGGTTCGCTAAGAGTAGCATCCCAGGGGCTCTCATGCTTGTTCTTGAAACTTTCCTCCGCCGTTTATCCCGACCCGGCTAGCCGCCCCCACACCGAAAGTAGTTAGTAAATGATGCCATCCCACTCACTCACTTTTATTTCTAACTCATCTCGCAAATAATCGCTCCTCTTGCTCACTCATTTCATTCACTCACTCATTTCATTCGTTCGCAAATAATCGCTCCTCTT